TCGGTCATCACTCTTGGCCCGCTGTGCCGTGCGCCTGCGGAGGGGTGCTGGAGAGGATTTCGGAGGATCAATCTTCAGCACTCTAAGGCGGCGTCAGCCAACAATTTAATCCGCCTTGAGCAAGGTGGAGTTGATGTAGTCCTGATGCAGGAGCCGTGGCTGAGCAGCTGCAATAAGGCTTCTGGTATCGGGACGAGGGACTACAGACTAGTGGTGCAGCAGGACGTAGGTAGACCTCGATCCTACATGCTCATCCCGAAGGAATTTAATTCTTTTATTTTGTCTCTTTTCAGCGATGGTGACATTGTGACGGTGAGCCTGGAGGGTGCAACCGGAGAACTCTGGTTGAACTCCGCATATATGGCGCACGAAGACGGGGTGGAGCCACCTCAGCGCTTACTAAGGAATGCGGTGGCAAAAGCTAGACGCAGGAGGGTCCGCGTTGTTATTGTGTCTGACGCGAATTCCCACCATACGATTTGGGGCAGCTCAGACATCAACACTAGAGGTGAGTCACTCTTTAACTTTATTCTGTAAGAAAATGTATGTATATGTAATAGGGTACCCACTTTTGTAACGGCTAGTAGATAAGAGGTTTTAGATATCACGCTGGCCTCTTCTGATATAGCTGGAGTCTTTAGTGACCACTCCTTCTCCGAAGGGCGTCCTAAGCACAAACCTTACAGGAATCTGAAGAGAACCAACTGGGACTTATACTGCTGAAGTCTGCAGGAAATACTTCCGGTTGCACCCGTGAGGGGCGGGACCTAGACTGAAAGCGAAATTGACGAATTATTGGGTGTGTTTACCACCTCGTGTAAAAGGGCCATTGAATTGTCTTGTCCCCAGAGTTACCACAAAGGTAAGGGCAAACCGGTCTGGTGGTCGGAGGAGCTCTCCGATCTTAGGGCCTCGAGCAGAGGCCTTTTCAATAGGGCCAGGAAGAGTAAATCAGCCTCCGACTGGGCACTGTATAAGATTGGGCTTGGGATATATAAGTCCGAGATTAGGAAAGCGAAGCGGACGTCGTGGAGACTGTTCTGTGAAAGCGTGGAGGGCAGTCAGGAGTGTTCAAAGTTTAGACGAGTTCTCTCTGAGAATCCCGCTCCGCTGGGATACATCAGGGATGGGGGCGGCGGCTGGGCAATGAGCAGCGAGGAGTCTCTTCGGATGCTCCTTGATGCTCATTTTCCCTGCAACCCGGACCCGGGAGGGATCCGGTTAGAGACGAATGTCTCGGAAAACCTAACCGTGGATCGCCTTCTGTGGGCCATTAGCTCTTTCAAGCCCTCTAAGGCCCCGGGCCCCGATGGCATAATACCGGCCCAACTGCAGAAGTGTCGTGCAGCTGGTTGATGCCCATTTTCGAGGGCTGTTTGGCGAAGGGTGGTCAGAGTGGTATTCATTCCTAAGGCGGGTAAAGCCTCTCATGTATCACCCAGGGATTTCAGGTCGATAAGTCTCCCTCGTTTCTTTTGAAGACGCTGGAGAGACTGATCGATCTGCATTTAAGGAGCGGGATCCTCAGGGAGCGCCTTTCCTTGGATCAGCATGCTTATTGCAAGGGCAGGTCTGTCGAAACGGCCTTACACACGGTCGTTGAAAATATTCAGCCCTATTCTGCATTTCGGCTCGAATCGAAATTTTCTCCGTTTGGCAACTTTGGTATTCTGCGTTC